TTTAAGTAGCCTTGGCGGGTGTGTGGCTTGTTCCCTTAAGGAAGTAGTGTTGGGTTTTGACAAGCAGCTGAATTCATCTTTATATACCATGATGGAGTTCTAAACTAGTTTGTGGTGTGGTTGGTTCATCCTCTATCAAAGTGTGACTCTCCTAGCATCTGTTTGGTATGCCTTAGAGCGGTGGTTCTCAACTGTCTTGGTGCCTTGACTCTTTAATACAGTTCCTCATGTTGTAGTGACCCCAACCATAAAATTATTACCATTGCCACTTCATAACTGTCATTTTGCTACTGATATGAATTATAAATATCTGGCATGCAGGCTATCTGATATGCAATCCCTATTATTTGTTTGGACACACATGCCCACCCAGGGCTTTTGACCCACAGGTTGAAAAGCACTGCTCTAGATGTTCAGTGAGTTCTCTTCCTCCCGAGTAAGCAGAAATAGGGTAAGTCTCCCAACCTGCAGAGCCATGCTGTTGTCCAGCTCCAGAGCATTTGTTCCTGTGTGGCCCAGGGAGTCAGACTCTTGGCTCATCTGATTGTTTCAGATATTCTCCACAGACCCCTGCTCCAGGGCTTCTGATATGTCTCAGCTTTCACCTACCTATTCTTCTCTGAGCAAAATGTCACAGCAACCACGGGGCTCTGTGCCTCTGCTTTCTCTCTTAAAGGTCAGCACAGTACCATCCGGTGTCCAATGTCTGAAAATAAGCTTTACACATATTTGCCTTATTTTTCCGGCTGATGACAATAAGGAAAAAAAATTCTTCTCACTCTCACAGATATGCTTGACTTGATATGAACCTATTCATTCAGTTAATGCTGTCCCAATTTTGATTCCAGTTACAGAAGTCTTGGGAAATGCAGGACATCCCTCATGTAGGGAGCTAAAGTGTTGGCAGTTGATGGTTAGTGCTAAAGGACATCCACGTCACCTAGAGACAGAGGGCTAGGGTTGTGGCCCCATGATAGAGTGCTTGCTTGGCATACACAGGACCCTGGACTCCATCTCTAGTTTGGAATTTTTAAACACAGCTTTAAAATAGAAAACAGGATGTTGTCTTTACATCCTAATCAGCCTTCAGTGAACCTCAGCCTTGAGCCAGAAAGGCTGTAATTGAGAACAATGTCCTTCTGTCCCATGCTGTATAAAAATAGGAATATTCGTTATAAAACCCTAGAAATGAGTTAGTACTAGGTATGTTCTTAAGATACATGACCCTACATCTAAGCACAGTGTAGACTTCATGCCACTTCAGAAATTATACTATCTTTTTCATTTCAAAACTGTATTTCGAAAACCCTTTGTTCCCTTCTTCAAACTACTCAGAATTTATTTTACATATGTGCTGTGGTTTAAATGTATTCCCTTAAAGGTTATGTGTTAGAAGTAATACCAAATTTATGTGACTGATATTTTGAAATGGGGTGTTGGGAAAGCAGTTCAGGTTGGATGAGGGTGGAAGAATGGGGGCCCCATCTTGACATCAGTGACTTTATAGGATAGAGATAGAGGCTGGAGTAAATGATCATGCTGTCTTCCAATAATGTCCTCTGTCATATGCCTTCACCAGCAGATCCTAGCAACATGCACTAAACAAAATTCTCTGATTTATAAATTATTTAGTCCTGGGTATTTTGCTAGAGCACCAGAAGATGGACTAAATAAATATTCACGTATATAAACACACACACATATATACATGTATACATAAACACACATGCCATTTATGAAATTCCTGATATTATGGCAAGCTTTAGTTTCTTCCAAAACAAAGACTTTGCTAATGAAAGATGGCTACAGGAAAGATGATTGCTGGTACCTACATATCCATATAGTGTAGTCCATGTGTGTTAATCTTACATCTCATCAGTCAGGCATCTGAGTTGTCCTTTGTTACTTCGGAGAAGAACCAGGACCATGGAGGCGGTAATTATTCAGGACGAGGCACAGGGAGGCACCGGGAGGCACCAGGAGGCATGGGGACTTTGACATGTGCTAACTGGAAATGAGAACTGCTTTGGGTACCAATTGCTGCTGTTTTCTGTTGTTGAAAGTAGAATAAACTACTGGTACCGAGGAACTGTTCCTATTCTTGTTTGACTAGACAGAATTGTCTATTTAAGGTAAATTGGGCAGAAACAATTATTGGCATGAATCCTTCTAAAAAAAAAAAAAAGAGCCTGCTACCTCCACGATTTCTGCCACTCTGCTGCCCCTCTGTGGTGATCTCACTGTTTCAATGTCTCAACTCTGCCTCTAGCTCCTTGTGTCTCAGCCCAAGGCTTCCTCAACACTAAGCTAATCCAGTCATTTTCAAGAGAATTTTTCTTTGTTATTTTTTTCTTTTATTATTGTATCGGTTTCCTATTATCCAGGCTGGGCTCCAACTTACTGCATAGCCCAGGCTGGTCTTGAACTCATAACTAACTGTCTTGTCTCTACCTCCCAAGAGCTAGAATCAGTCATGCACTGCCACCACTCAGCTTTAAGTAGCACTTTTGAAATGTGCTAGCCAGGCCGATAAACAGCTTCTCCATGGTGCCTAACACACACCACCTGAACCTGCTGTGAGTGTGAGTCCTATTCAGGGTTCCAACTGTTTTTTCAAGGGACATACGCATGGGATATACTCCTGCCACAGAATAATGGAACACGGCAGGTTCCTCCTCACAATGTGTAATGTGCCCTTCCCACATCTTGAGACAACATCAATACCACTTGTTCTAGGATTCATCCACTTTCAAACCCAGGCTCATTTACTGGGCGTGGGGCTTCAGTTTATAGGGACAATGATGGTATCCACTAAAATGAGGATGAAGTTGTGTTATCTGAAGGTAATGAATGGCTGTTGTTGTAGATAGGTGTATCTTGAGAAATAAGACTTACAAGCAACCGTAGCTTTGCTGCTCCTGGCGACACTATACTAAATGTAAGGGTTTGTACGCACTGCTTTAGCTGCCACTGCCTCTGGATCAATCCTGTCTCCAGTTTTCTTTTTGTTGTGGTTCCTGTTTTTTCTTGTTAAATGGTGGTTTGTTTTAAATCAGAATAAAAACAAACCACATTTTGAATAAATTTGCCTAAAGGAAATGTCACTACCTTAGTCTTCTAAGAAAAGTAATACAATTAAAAGTAAACCAGCAGACTGAAGGAAAATTTCACTTCTAGCAAATTTACAAGCAATTCCCTATTGTGATGTTTTACTAAAACATGACATTTCAATCCAATCTTTCTTCTTTCTGGCTATTTTATTTCTGACAGAATAAATACATGTCTGTTGTAAAACGTTAGAGGATAAACAACTCTATTTCAAAGTGCTGATAATCACATCTTAGAGCTAATTCTCAGTGTGACATCAGTGAGTTCACAGTTGTCTCTTTTCTAAAGCTGCCCAATAGACTGTGTAAAAGTGGGACCTTCTGTTCTTCATGACAGGAGAGCCACTGCAAGGCAACACATCCGAAATCTAGCTAGACAGCAGAGAGGCTAAGACTTTAAATGTATTATGTTAATTAAGTTTACTGTGCATTATCTTTCCCAGCTTTATTTAAGTATAATTCACACACACACACACACACACACACACACACACACACAACTGTGTAAAGTATGTATGCAATGTGATGGTTTCTGGTCCATGTATATTATGAAGTGATTTCTACACTCAGCTAATGGAGCATTAGACTTACTGGGTATTTGTATGCATGTAGCATACAGGGGACTGGCTTAGTGTGTGGTGGGTATATGTATGAGGGTATAGGATGTGTATATAGTGTGTGTGGTATGGGGTGGTATATGGTCTGTAGAGAGTGTGTATTATCTGTGTGGTATGTGTATGAGTTGTGTGTTGTACATGTGATAATAATATTTGTAGGTCATATCACATATGATTGTGTTATATGTGTATGCATATGGTATGTGTATACGATATATATGTGTATGTGGTGTATGTGGAGATTGCTTGTGTGGGTGGGGGAAGGTGGTATGTGTGTATAGGTGTGGTGTGTGGTATATGGTGTATATGATACAGTATTAACTACATAATCCTTATGCTGAGCCCTGGATATCCAGAACCCCCTCATATTACTTCTGTAAATTTGTACCAATGTCTCTTTACTGTGGGAGTGATGACGTTAGACTTTTCATATTTGTTTGACATTTTCGGTAATGTTGATGGCACAGAGGTTTGGAGACCACTTCTAGGCAAGCAGGGAAAACAAACAAACAAACAAACAAACCTAACAAGGATTACACCTCAATGAAAATATTTTGATTAACAAAGTAATAAAGAATGGGACAGTTGCCTTAAAACAATACATTTTTTAACGTGTAAAACACCTTTGATAATTCTTTTAATGTACAAACTTGAAAATTACAATAGATGAAGGTTTAGCCTTTACCAGATAGAGATGGCATAGATGTCAAAGTAGTCTGAGTACAAAAACCATGGTTTTACCCCGCTTTACATGTGTGTTACTACAGGACAGTAAAAAATGACTACATAGTTAAGAGCTCTTCCAGACCACCCTGAACTTGGTTCTCAGTATCCAAATTGGGCAGCTCACAACTGTCTATAGCTCCATATAGTCTGACACCCTGTTCTGGCCTCTACATGCATAAACACTCTCTCCCTCCCTTTCCCCAACCCTCTCCCTGTCCCATGCTCTCTCTCTCTCTCTTTCTCTCTCTCTCTCTCTCTCTCTCTCTCTCTCTCTCTCTCTCACACACACACACAATAAATAACTTTTAAAAAATTTTTAATGCTTCCCACTACCCTCTAAATACACTTCCCCAAACTGCATTATTCTCAGGTAGCCCATGGTGAGGATGGTCTTGAAAACCAAAGCTGTATTACTGGTAGAGGAATTCATGTTTCTCTGTAGGGAAAGTCACAACTCTTCTGAGCCCCTTCCAGAAAGGCACACACGCACTGATGCAAGGATCCCTCAGACAGCAAAAGCCCCAGCTAACCCTCTTGTCTTTCTTTGCAGCCTTGATCACTGATGACCTCACAGATGCCATTCTCTGTGCCAAGAAAATTGTTAAAGAGACACAAGGGATGAACTATTGGTGAGCATTTCCTTAGGAGACTCAATTTGACCTGAGTGGGACCTACAGTGTGACTCTTCATAGTGACTAGGGTGCATGTGGAAAACTGGTGCCTGCAGAGTAGTCCAAACAAGGAAACATGACTAGTTTACATTCATCCCCATGAGAGTGAGGGTCCAGAGCAACACAGTCCAAGGGACAAGTACGGGAAAAGTCTTGCTGTCGTATGAATGAAAGGGATCCATCTATCACATCTGTCAACACAGCAGGGGGCAGGGAGACTGACCTTGCCCTAAATTTGTGTGAGATTTAGAGGCTGCAACAGTATCTGGTGGAGAAAGGTAATAAACAGCATTAAGGATGAAAACCCGAGCCTGTAAATGACAACTAGCAGGATCCACTTCTGAGCGAGCCCCTTTCATCTCTGAGGCTGTGTTTCTAATGAATGCTGCTAATCAGGCTACCCGTTTGCTAGTTCAGAGCTGTGGCTGTCATTGACCAGTCCTTACAAAAGCAGTTTGCTTGTTGGGGAGGCAAACAGTGACTAGGAGGAAATGGGTGAGGGAGGAGACAGACAGACAGAGGAATGGAAACTTTAGATGTCTGAAGCATGTTAAACACTGAGTACTCCTCTGGAGGTTACAGCTAAGGTCACTGGGGGTGGCCTGCTTCCTTCTGTTGTTCCCATATCCATCTCCTCCTCAGGCAGGGCTGGAAGAAACACTGTGAGGGCAAAGACATGTCTGAGTGGAAGAAAGGATGTGAGGTGTCCTGATCTGGAACAGGTGCAAGGAAGCTTTGGTGTGCCTTCCCAGATTTGTAATGAGTATGTATCCCTCACAGTATCCCTTCTCAAAGTTGGAGAGGGATTCCAAGCTGTATTTAAAGGAAATAAATATTTCCATTTATATGTCTTCACTTCCCTCTGTCTTGAGTTCCCTCTGGCTTGATGTCATAATAACTTGATGGTGTTAAGACTTGGAAAAATCATCCCTGGAATGTTGAAGACCTGCAGAGAATACACTTCCCTTCCTTGCTGTAAAGGTTCCCAAGTGTGGAGCCCTGACATGTCTGCTCATTCAAAACTGAGGTTTCTGAAGGTCGAAAGTTGCACTTGGTAAGGAAGTTTAAGAAGGCTTCCAGCTGGTTTGCCAACCCCTACATCCCCAAGAGCACATGGCTGTTCTTTCTAGTCAGAGGACACACATCACTTTCTCAGATCAGCGCTGCCGGAGAGAACCCTTCTGCATCCTGGGTGGAATCCTGATAGCAACTCTAGTAGAATAAAAAGGTGAAATCACAGTTCTTAATGCCAACAATCTAGAGCAATGGTTCTCAACTTGTGGGTGTCATATATCAGACATTCTGTGCATCAGATATTTGCATTACAATTCACAACAGTAGCAAAATTATTTATAAAGTGGCAACAAAATAATTTTATGGTTGGGGGTCACCATAACTTGAGGAACTGTATTAAAGGGCTGAAGCATTAGGAAGATTGAGAACCACTGATCTAGAGACTGCCCCCTGTTACTACAATATCCATTTGAGTTAAACCTACCAAGTTCCAAAGCAACATTAGATCATTCAAAAGAAACTTCAGGCAAATGGCTACCTGTGGTGTCTATTAGCATACCAACGTGCATTCTGGTTTCCAGGCTATTACATAGTCTCTGGCTTGGCTCAGCTCTTCATACCCTGAACTCTCTTGCCCTAAACTTTAGCTCATGGGCTTCCTTTCCCCTAGCTTCTCATTCCTACACAACTGTATCATTTCAGCACAGTCATGTCCTCATTGTACTCATTGTACTCAGTGACATAATGATTTTCATCTCAAGACATGCAGATTGGATTAGCTTGGCCGGGAATCTGATGACTATATGACCATGCTGCAGGGGCCCCAGGATGTCAACCAGGGAGATATTTCTAGGATGGATCTGCTGGAGATGGGTGTGGCTGTCTCTCCTGATGCACACAGCAGGATGGCTCTGCCTGGCCGATTCATGTCCATTTTCCTGTACACATCTTTCTGTCCTACATGCCCAGTTGTTTGAAGCTTTGATTCAACCTGCTTTGTTCTAAACTTGAGGTGAAAATAGGCTCTTGTTGAGTGCAATATGATCTAGACCGCACTAAATTGAGGTTTGTTGGAGAAATGGATACAAAGCAATAAGCCTCCTTTAGAACAAAATCCCCAGACAATGAATGCTGTCCCAACCCACAAAACCCTTCAGCATTCCCGTTGCCACTGCCCAGCTTTGACCGCTCACTTCATACCCACTAGCTTAACCTTCATCTTTCATCTTTGAAAAGTCATAATAGCTGCTTGTCAGAGAATATGTATCAGTATTGTCACAATTTAACAAGCATCATAAACCGTGAGAGAAAAAGCTTTTGAAACACGTCTAAGAATTGAAAAACAGTTCTATAAGATGACTTGAGACCATGGGAGAAAAAGCTTTCAAAACACGTCTAAGAAAAGATGACTTGAGAAGAACTGAAAAACATGTAGGACCCATTAAGGTCCACTAAATCAATAACCTGTGCCTATAGAAGTCCATAAATATGTATTTTCACTGTTATTACCCAGGCATCCATCTGTCCTGCAGGCCTCATTCTTAGTGGAGCCTCCTGCTTCATTAAAACCAGTGGCACCAAGTTAATGAGTGAGTTTGGCAGAGACCTGGTGCCAGCCATTCAATGGCTAGGGAAAAAAAAAGTCCCCAAAGTTCAAGATAATGGGAAGCTTTCTGGCACTACGAAATTGATTTTTTTTTTTTTTTTTTTTTTTTTTTTGGTAAAACTCATAAAATCTCTAAGCATGCCATCTTACTACTTTCTTCCACAAATGTTTTATTTATTCAGCATTTCTATAAATACTAATTTAGGTTGAAAATATAATTTTCCATAATTAATGCCTCAGAAATGCAAGAGGAAATGATTACTTCTATTCTTAGGTTATCTTTATTTGACAAAAGAGTAGTGAGGCAGCAACCCTCATTCTTTTCCTGCATGTGGTTTCCATGACACCTGGAAGCAGATTTTCTTCTTTATTTTCCCCATGACCACCACATCAGCAGGACCACCAGATGCACTGAGCAGAAGGGTAGTATTAGGAGTGTGTAATGAGCACACTTCTTTTCCCTTTGAGGAAACCCCTCCCAGAGCGTCTCTGTCTTTTGCATCTCAGCCTGCTCTCTGGTACCCCTGAACACTTTCTGGTCTGGTCTGCCATCTTCCTTGACACCTCCTGCATCTAGTGGGCCATTCCCCCTCTAGATACAGCTGACACTGGCCCTTGCCTACGCTTGAACTTGGCTCCTTAACTTCAGCTAGAGCTGAGCCCAACCCACATGACACTTCCCTCTTCTCTGACCCTCAGAGGTCTTTCCTCTGAGCTCATATCATCCAGGGCTGGTATTCCTATCCAGTCTGTAAAGTCCTTGATGTCTGGATTTCCTCGTCCATGCCCTTGGTTTCTCACAATCCCCTTTGCAGTAATGACCAAGTAATAGTTGATTATCAAAACTCTGAAGCTGTTTGGTTTTGCTGGATTCTTGGAGTGACTGAAGAATTGCAAGCAGTGTCTTGTGTTTATAACACTTTAATTTTCAAGATGTTGCTTGCAATAATCTTGGCTTTGGGTAGAGCATGCTACAATTTCTGCTGGTCACTCATGTGCTAACTAGGGAAGCATCTCTCCACCTTCATAGTGTAACACACATTTATCTCAGCTTATCCTTCTATGAGATCAACAGACAGAAAAGAAACTATCATGCAAACTCTAGATCTGGAATATGCCTTGAAGGTTCATGGGTTGATCCCCAGCACATAGTGTTATTGGAATGTGTTAGAAACATCAGAAGTTGGGGCTTAGATTGTCAGGTAAGGGCACTTTGTGTGTAAGTTTAAGGACCTGAGTTCAAATCCCTAGAACATAAGTCTTTTAAAAAGCAAGATGTGGTTGTATGTGTTTGTAACTCAGTACTATGGATCTCTGGGGCTTGCTGGTCATCAGCTTAGCTCCAGGTTCAGCAAGAGAGCCTGTCCCAAGGAAATAAAGCAGAAAATGAGAGGACACCTAGTATGTTCCCCTGAAATCTGTACATGTGCACAGTCACACCTGTCTGCACATACGTTCTAGATGTGCAACACATGCACAAAAAGAAATTAAGAAATATTTTAGAAGATGGAGGCTTCGTGGAGAAATCATGCCACAGGGGGTGTACCTTTGAAGGGACACAGAGGCCCTTACCCCTTCCTCTCTTTCTGCTTCCTGGCAGACATCTCTCAGTCACAAGACTCTGTTTCATCATAGAGATCATGACTCATGACCCTGATACATTAAACCAAAAGACATCCCTTTTTGACCCTGTTGTTTTGGCACACTGACAAGATTCTGACTGACTCAGAAGCTAACTGCTCCATTGGGTGGCAGAGAAAGGATGAACTTCCCTACATACACAGCCACAAAGGGGACCCCTCTGGCCACTGAGGCCCTCGTGGCTGATGTGCTATATACCAGTGTTGGAAACTGGCATTCTGCTGGCCATGTCTCCACTATGTCACTCATTATGAGGCTGTGTAGGGACTAAGTTACACATGCTCGAGTTTCTCTTTTTAAGCAAGCGCCCCACACACCCTCCTCTCTCTCTCTCTCTCTCTCTCTCTCTCTCTCTCTCTCTCTCTCTCTCCCAACTCCCCCCACCCCCCATCCCCCACCCCCCACCCCCCGCTTTCGGTTGGCCGCCAGCTACCCCCTTTCTCTTCTCTCCACCAATAAACTCCGCATGGGCGCATTGAGTCTCATGTTCCTGTTGGTGATAGCTGCAGTAAAAGAACAACAGCCAGGCTGTGGAATTGTCCCAACCTTTCTTTTCCTCGCCTTCCTAGTTAATCTATAATTATAATAGAAATCTGTATTTATCACAAAGCACAAAGAAAACTGTTTCCCAAAACTACAAAAGTGAAATCTCATTTAATAGCTACAATTAATTTTTTTGTGTGTTTTTCTTCTACTTTATCTACTCTGTGTGTGTTATTTTGTATCTTGCTCATTTTTTCTCACTGTACCATGAGATTTCCCCCCCCCCCCCACAGAAGTGTTTTTCAAAATAGTCATGTGGAAGAGCATGAAAGTTCTCACGACTCCCCATAGTTCATTTTCTCTTTCCTCTACAGTTGTAACTTTGAGTTAACCAATAGCATTTTCAGACCTTGGACTCTAAGCCAAATTCTACAAAATATCCTTTCTTCTCTTACTGTTTATTCTGCTCCAACCTTCATCCAAAGTCCTCAATGCACTTTTACAGCCTCTGTCATCCCATGGCTTTACTGACCCTAGAGCTGCTTAGGGTGACTTTGAAGGCAGTTAGAAGCATGGTGTCGATCACAGTCTCAAACAATTAGGGTCTGTTATCTGTCATTGGTTGGTACTATAATGGCAAATCACAGTTTCACCATCCCTGGACACAGATCAAAGCCAATACCAAACAGAGCCAAGAGCTCAGAAGAAAGTACTGGAGCCAGCTCTGTGACGAGCTGTATGCACAGACAAGGAACCATGTGTCTCCCTCTCTGTTGCAGAACGGGAGTGGTAAGTGCCATTCATAGCATGGAAACGGGATCTCCACAATAGCGGGAGCACATGCCACAGTGCAGACCCTAACTGGTTACCCCTGCAGCTCAACCTATCTACTTTCCCTTCTCCAGTATGTTCTAGCAGGTGACTTCTCACAGGCTCTGCAAACAGTTCTCAGAGATATGAATGTCTTGACTCGCTCCAAAGGAAACAGGGTCCTGACTAAAAGAGAGCCATATGAAGATGTGGTTGGATTTATTTTAAAACCTCTGTCTGCAACTGTAATTTCCAAACT